ATTTTCTCTAAGAGTTTTATACATGTATTTCTTATGTTTTAATATTTAATTTATTTAAGATATATTCTATATAGTACAAGGGAAGGTACCAACATCATTTTTTTTTCTATCAGAAATATTCAGTTTTCTACAACATTTGTTGAAGTGACTCTTCTTTTTCATTGCATGGTCATTGTAATCTTGAGGAACCTAAGTTTGGTCATGGACAAAAAGGTTTATTTCTGAGTTCTCCATTCTGTTATCTCATCTCATTACTTGTCTTTGGGCCAGTAACACATTTTTTTATTCCTGCAGATTTGTTTTCAAATCAAGAAGTGCTATGCCTCCTTGTTTGTATTTCTAAAACAGTCTGACAATCTTTTGTTCCAACACACTTTAGAATTTATTTTTATATATCTTCAAAATAAGTATGATAGGACCATTATAGACATTGAATTAAATTTGTGGATATTATTGACATCTTAACAGTTTTAAATCATCTCACCATTGAGCATGAATGTATTAAAGAGTGTGTTTAATTTTGACATATTTTTGTATTAGTCAGTTTGTGTTGTGCTTTTGATTTCTAGTTCCACTTCAATTTTGTCAAAAAATATATGTTGTATGATTTTAGGTTTCTTCAACTTGATAATACTTAAGTGTCCAAATAGCATTTATCATGTATGATTGAAACCATAGTGTATTCTGCTGCCTTTGACAGAAGAGTTCTGTAAATGTCGTTTACATCTAACTAGTCTATAATGTCTTTCCCATTATCTGTTTTCTTATTTATCTTCTGTCAAATATTTGTATTCATCATTGAAATCATATATATCAGGCATAGCCTTATATATTCATCATTGAAATCATCATATATCATGCAAAGCCCTGATAAATAATATATATTTAAAAAATATCTAAGCTAAAATGTGTACATTACATGTATATCATCTGTCTATGTGTATTCTGTGCCATAGATTTCTCCTAAATGACCGATTTTGTCATTATAAAAGTCTTTGTCTCTTCTGATGGCTTTTGACTTAAAGTGTATTTTCTTTAATTATGGCCACAATATCCTCCTCTTATTATTTATGTAGAATATTTTACATTATTTTCAACCATTTGTCTTTTAGAGCTAAAGGAAGGATTTTGTAGGTGGCATATACTATGGTTCTGTTTGTTTTTTATCCATACATTCATCTTATTTTTCATTGGAGAGACTAAACCATTTACATTTAATGAAACTTCTGAAGGAAGAGTTTGCTGTTTCTATTATTCAAAAACTGAAATTGAGAATTTGAAAGAATTGCATTTAATCTGTAGACCAATCTGGACATCTTCACAACATTAGGTCTTCTTCCCTTGAAGAAGAATGTACTCAAGAGTGTGTTGTTTATTTTCCTATATTTGTGAATTTTTCTGTGTTTCTTCTATTATTTATTTTCAGTTTCATTCCATTCTAGTCAAAAATTAAAGTTAGTAAAATTTCAATTTTCTAAAATTGGTTAAGACTTGTGGCTGAACAGGTAGTTTTTTAGGAAGAACGTTTTATGAGCTATCAAGGAGATTGTGTGTTCTACTATTATTCTGTAGAGTGTTTCTAATATATCTGTTAGATCTAACTGCTATGTAGTGTTTTCAAATCTTTTGTTTTCTTATTAATAATTTGACTGGTTTTATTATTATTGAAAGTGGAATAGAATATCAAAGTATCATATTATTTTGATGTCTATTTCTTGCTTCATTTCTGTCAATGCTTTTTAAACATATATTTGAGAACCTTGATGTGAGATAAAGATAGATATAATATAAATGTATTATTTTCAAGGCACTCCGTGAATGACCACTTTTTATATTTATTGCCCTTTTTGTCTCTTGTGACAGTTTTGACTTAAAGTATATTTTAAAAATTATAACGTTTTTCATTTTAAAATAATGTGCCTAATATAATTTTGAACTCCACTACTCTTTGATGCTAAATGTTTTTCTGATATATCTTGCTATATCCTGCCAGTTGTAGTCTATTGTTCTCACCAGGAATTAAGTCAAGTTGCTTTAGATAGAATATAGTTGGATTTTTTTTAACTCTTTATTTAACTGTGCCTTCTGACTGGAAACAGTAGTACATAAATATTTACATAATTTTCTCAAAGGAAGGACTTACAATTTCTCTTATGTTAATTATTTTATATAACTTTTTTCACTGTCTTTTCTTTCTTTCCTCTCCTTCTGTCCTGCATTGTGCCTCACTGATTTTTAGTGACATATTTTGTTTGTTTCTTTGCCTAGCTTTCTTTTTTATCTCTATAAACATTTTTTTCTGATGTTCACTGTGAGAACTATGTAAAATCTTTTGAACTTGCAACTCTTGTTAAATGAATGACTACTTAACTTTGGTTGCATATAAAAGTTCTTAATCTTTACATCTGCCCTCACCTTTATGATATTGATGTGAATAATTATGTCTTTTTATAATGTATACAAATTAAAACATGGGAATGATAATGTCTTTATTTTGCCTTTCAAATTTTATAGCATAATTAAATATTTTGCACCATCATTATGATAATGCAGAATTCTATTCTTAATATGTGCATATTTTTCTCAGAGAGTTATGTAGTTGTCAAGGGGGGTGGAAACTAGCCTTTGGAAAGGCCACAAAAAACACATGTGTGGACATATGCTCATAGTTTCATTCTCTTTTGAAAGGGAATCCAGGAGATGGGATTTTACTACTAAAGTGATAACTCAGTATCAGCATGGAGGAAGGGCATTGGTGGGTAAATGCAACAAAGTTTCCTACCCCTTCAAAGTGATTCCTGGTGTTTTTTCTCATCTGGGATGCTATGAACATTTAGCAGTTATAATTTCTAAAAGAATCATGGTTGTAATTATATAATTAAGTTCATACATCTATGATGGAAGTAAGACCATGGTATTCTATTGTGCTTTCTTTCTAATGTACTTTCTATAGTTTTATATATTCAAATTTTTAAGTATATTCACCAGAGTCTGCTTAGTCAGATACTTTGTTATTTTCATCTCTTTCAGAACTCTCTTCCCATTGCAACAAAGACCTGTTGCCTGAGCAGTGTATAAAAGACCCCTTTCAGAAATCAATAATGAGATTATATGGAAGAAATGGCCTTGAATATATACACTTAAGAAGAGACTGGGAGTGTGGGGGTGAGTATAAGAGGCAGAAATCATGTTCTGATGGTCTTACCCAATGTTTGTCAACTTGCCACAGAAAATTATTCAAATGTTATAAATGTATAAATGTCTTTAGCAAATCATCAAATCTAAATAGACACAAGACAAGACATACTGGAGAGAAATGTTTCAAACTTAATGAAAGTGGCAAAACTTATAACCACAGCTCTAATGTTTCTGGACATAGAAAAAATCATACAAGAGAGAAATTCTACAAGTGTGAAGAATGTGGAAAACCCTTCAACTGTTGCTCAAAACTTACTATACATAGGAGAATTCACACTGGAGAGAAACCCTACAAGTGTGAAGAATGTGGCAAAGCCTTTATGTGTTGCACAAAACTTACTCTACATAAAAAAATTCATATGGGAGAGAAACCATACAAATGTGAAGAATGTGGCAAAGCCTTTACCCATTTCACATCCCTTACTCAACATAAAAGAATTCATACTGGAGAGAAACCCTACAAATGTGAAGAATGTGGCAAAGCCTTTAACCAGTCCTCAGTCCTTACTCGACATAAAAGAATCCATACTGGAGAAAAACCCTACAAATGTGAAGAATGTGGAAAAGCCTTTAGCCTGTGCACAAACCTTACTGAACATAAAAGAATCCATACTGGAGAGAAACCCTACAAATGTGAAGAATGTGGAAAAGCCTTTACCCTGTGCACAAACCTTACTCGACATAAAAGAATCCATACTGGAGAGAAACCCTACAAATGTGAAGAATGTGGAAAAGCCTTTACCCTGTGCACAAACCTTACTCGACATAAAAGAATCCATACTGGAGAGAAACCTTACAAATGTGAAGAATGTGGCAAAGCTTTTACCCGCTGCATAAACCTTACTCAACATAAAAGAACTCATACTGGAGAGAAACCCTACAAATGTGAAATATGTGGCAAAGCCTTTAACCAGTCCTCAGTCCTTACTACACATAAAAGAATCCATACTGGAGAAAAACCCTACAAATGTGTGGACTGTGGTAAAGCCTTTACCCTGTGCACACACCTTACTCGACATAAAAGAATTCATACTGGAGAGAAACTCTAAAAATGTGTAGAATGTGGCAAAGCCATTATCCCGTTCAGAGACCTCACTCAACATAAATGAATCCATACAGGAGAGAAACCATACACATGTGAGGAATGTGGCAAAGCATTTTCCCAGTGCTCACACATTAATCTACATAAAAGAATTCATATCAGAGAAAAATTCTATGAATGTGAAAATTGTGACATAGTCTTTAATAACTGTTTACATCTTATTCTACATCAAAGAAATCAGACTAGATAAAAGTGAGATAAATGTAATGAGTATGTAAGTGCTTTACCAAAGGATTAGCCTTAAAATGCACAACAGTACTTATACTTAAAGCAAAACTAATAATGTAGACTGCTGACAATACCATTAGTTATAACAGATCTTATCGGACATGGGAGAACTTACACTGCAAATAATGCTCCAATATTTTCTCAAACATTGCTCATCATCACAAAAATTTTAAGGAATAGAAACCTTACAAATATAATGAATGTGAAAAAATATTTATGCAAAAGATATACCTTATAGAACAATGAACAATTGATACTTAAAATACTTTAATAAATTTCAGAATGCAATTAATCTAGAATCAAGTCTAAACATATATCAGAGGACTCACAGTGCAATACACTAATGCACTAACACATTCACTCATTTCTTTAAACCAGGTTGTTGATTATAGAGAAACCACCGGTTCAAAATATGTTATTGATATTGTATGTCAGCTTTAAAAAAAGAGAGATTTTTTGAGAGTTATAATTTAACATGTTAAATTACTTTCTGGTCCGTGTGGGTGAAAATGTAATAAAGTATCATTTTTGCTATTTTTGGCAAGCAAGTACTGATATTATTCAACTTAAATACGTAGTTTGGGTAGCTTCATTCTTAGTTATTAAGTGTCTTAGGATGATAGCTACATCACATTTATATAGAAGTCTTTGTGTATAAAGGCATTATTCATGTACGTTTCCATGGAAATAATAAAAACACTTGATAATGTAAGATCTTGATAATGGATAGGTACCAAGGATTTTCTTATAATAAACAGTATTTTAAGTGATATATTGATGTAGTATATAGAATAATATCTTCTTCTCATTATAATCAGAATGGGTAAAAATTATACATATTAAAAAATAACTATTGTATGACTGCACGTTACGATAATAAAATGAATCGTAATTTGTTGAATTATTTTTAGATTGACATGTAAACTTAATTTGTTTCCATAAATTAAAAATGTTCTTACTGTTTCCACATTTGTAGATTTGAATAAAGTTGTTATTATGCCACCAATCATTAACCTATCCCATGTACTCAAATTGGAGGAAACGATTTGTAAAATTGTGACTTGTCCGCTCGACAACAAAGACCTAATATTGTGATCCATTTATCAGGTGGCTGTACTTTAAAGGTAAGTTCCAACATCCTTTTTTTCATTATGTTTGTAATACATTTTTACTGTAAACTGCTTGATAATAAAGGATTTTGCACTTAATGAAAGCCATACATTCTTGAACCAGATGATAGATGTTATCATTCTATCTCATTTTTCTTTCACAATGCAACCTGCTGGCCAGTGAAACAGAATAAGCATATTTTTTATTTATATTGAATCGAGGATATACAAATACATCATGGTTAAGTTGAACTATAGTTGTAGTATATTTACAGATCTAAGGATTATTTTGTGGTTGTGGATGTATGGCATTTTGAACAGAAAATGAAGAAATATTAGAAAAAAATGGTAATTTCAAGTGTCCGAGAATTTACTAGCAAACTGAAACTTCAAAGATTCTGAAAGGAAATATTTATTTGCTTTCAGGTTAATTAATTGGTTTTAAAGCCTAAAAGTTGCTGGAATGGGAACCTTGCCATCCCGATCCTTTTCTTACAACTTATGCTCTTGCTAGGCCTAACTATGTATTGAGTATTTCAAAGTTCATTTATATGACTGATCTGCAATTCCAACAAAAAAAAAAAAAAAAAAAACAAAGATTGTTATAAACTTAGGATGGTGGCTGCATAATTATTCTGAATGTATATTAATACACAGTGTAATTATTTCAGTTAGTAATTCTATCTTTTCATGTCTGAATTGGAAGGCAGTATGAAAGCACTTTTGGTTACTCCTTCTTTTACTCTGTCATTTAACTAATTTGATTTATTGACTTTATCAGGCACTTTGGTTCAGGTAACACACTAAGCAAGATTATAAATTAATGGAGTTTATTTTACATGTTAAATAGGAAGAAATAAGTACAGGACAGTGTTAGATTCGCAATAGATGCTTTATAATTACCTGTAATATTTTGGGAAAGTGAACTTGTGTCAGAAAGAGATTGAAATGCGCCAGGGGTAAAAGTCCAGCTGGATTTTGCATGTTCAGAGCGAAGGAACTGGCAGGAACAACCAACTGCTTGAAGTTTATACAGTGGATCTGCTTCTTTCATTGCATAATTATCTCCAGTTTTTTGCCATTTTTTATCTTCATTCCGTTCTACAACTGTATTTAAGCCAGTCTTCTTTCCACCTGTGCTTGGGCTACAATATTCTCACTGTTGTACTCAATGCATGTAATTCTACATATAAGATATACCATATAAATAGGAGTATTAATAGGAAAACATATAAAAACAAATGTTCTTGAAGAAAATATATATTCTTGTATAATCCATGGTATAAGAAAAAGAATGTAAGCATATCAAAGAATTTAAAGTTTTATTTAGAAAGGTTAAAGAAAAGATAATGTAAAGAAAGGATCTTGCATAGAATTTTTTATCCTAAAATGATTCATTATGTAGGAAAAACGGAATTTAGACAAAAACAAGTTTATGGGAAGGTGTTATAGATTGCTGTGTGATATATGCATGATGAGATAAACTTTATGAAAGGAAACTTATTAAGAAATTTTGACTAAAACAAAGATTTTGGTAATATTGAATTATACGTCTTAATAAATCGTAAGTATACTTTCCAATTCTTAACATGTTCACTGTTTTTAATTTAAAATTATGATACATAATTCTTTTAAACTTGGGTGTAAATAAACCTACAAAAACAGCAACAGACTAGAACAACTGAGTGGCCAAGATCCTGAATAAAGTATTATTCCCCTTACTAATTCACAAATTCAAAGCTATCGCAAAGTCTGGATTGGCAATCAATATATCTGAATTTGTATATAAACAATTGATAATCATTATCCAAAAAATAAATTATTCCAGTTTCTACATTTAACTCAATAGATATTACCTAAAATAGTAAAAAACATACTCATCCAAAACCGTTAAAATGATGTTATTAAACAAAAAGGGAAGAGGGTATATGTTCCCCCAAATAGAAAAATTAAGCCTTATGTTACCTTAATTTTTTGACGTATCATAAAAAGATAATTTAACAGCAGTAGAGAAGTACTTGGAAAGAGCCAATCCACCAGATCCTTTCCTCACCAGCTCTTCTGTGAACAGATAGTATAGAGAATAAAGGAAAGAGGGATGGGCAAAGGTGTGGGGGAGAGGCTTTTCCTTGTCTTTTGAGAGCTGATGGACAAATAGTCTGGATTCCAAGCAGAAGAATCAAACCAGAGTGGAAACAGGAGGGAAAAAATGGGAGGACCACCAGAAGGGAAGTGAGGCCCTAGGGGTTGAGGGCTTTAAAAGGATGAAATAAAGAATAGGGAAGCTGCTGAAGGCAAGAAAACGTGCGCAGCCACTGATTCTATGACAGTGTGGACAGCTGGAAGAGAGCTATGAAGAAGCAGACAGAATATTGAGTCTGATGTCTGCATCTAAAAAACATCTTGTAACCTCTTTCTTGCCGATTGCATAGTGAGCATGGTGGTAGAATGTCTGTAACCACATATCGATGTACTGGGGCTATATTCCAATGCCCTTTAAATAAGGATTGTCAACTGGTGATATTCTTTTAGTTATTTTATTTAATGATTCTAATTGGCTTACCAGGGACCTTATGATTATTGTGGTCCAATGAAATCAATGGAGCCATAACTATATTGAATAAATACCGAAGTTGAACAGAAGGCCTGCCGCATATTATTGTAAACCGTATTCATTGTTTAAAACCTGCTATCAAATCTGGTAGTCACCTGCAACTCTACCAGTGATAAATCTACAAGCCTTGTTATTCTTGAAGTGCAACCTTTTTTCTGCTTCCGGACGATACTAAACTTTGCACCTCAGGATGTACCATCCTAAGGGAGGTAGTAAATTTCTGACCCTTAAATCTGGGTACCAATGGAAAATTGTTAAAAGTCATCATGGACGCATTCTTACTGGTCACCCTTCTTGAGTTATGTATAATTAGACTTGAGTCCCTATGGGATCCCCTGCCCTGATCTATAATTAAGTTAAAAAACTTCGTTATAAAGAAAACCTATCACCTCGATGTCTGATAACAGACACTAACTTTGAAGAGCGACTGCTACCTGGCCTTATGGTATGGACACTGCCAGCTACTATCATCAGATGCGCCCTATTCATCAGCAACTGTGAAGAATTATTGGCAGCTTTCACACTTTGCAGGCCTGGTATTACCACAAACACATTAGATGCTAAACGCAGTAGATGGAGTTTTTACCTAAACTCTACTCATTATACTTCAACCTTGTTGTTAATTGCTACTTAATTCATGATTGGATATGCCTTAGTCTATGAGTGCACCTTCCTTCCTAGTGACTTATACCAAACTGTTCTTTTTTTCCTGTTATCGATTATCCATTTAAATTCAGATCCCATAAAGAAGCCACTTTATATTCTTAAAAGCCAGAGCAGGGCTTATTACTGTTAAAATGATAGAATTTGCAGAAACCCCAGCAAAAAAAAAAAAAAATACGTTTGCTTTGCACTAAATGGCTTACCCAGAATCTTAAAAATGTACCAAAAATTGATTGGTCTATTTAATAGCACGCTACTTGGGAATTATTGCAATCACTGCAAACTGCCACCAAGGCCGAGTGTAGCATTACGACCAAACAGCTCTAACCACGAATTTTGTTCAAAATTTGCAGTCACAAAATCAAATCACATTATGCGTCCCACTTCAGACATCAAATTGACGAGCAAATTGGCTACTAAGTGGCTGTTAAACAAGCAGTCACCTTACTGGGAGACCAGGTCATAATCTGCAAAGCAACTTAGCTCTGGTTGTGATTGGAATATTGACTATTGTATTTCTCTCCTTTCTCTGTCTGGTATTATATGAAAATCAAAACTATTTCCTTGAAGCATTAAAAAAAGCATCTACTCAATCAAGAACGTCTGGATCGAACAAGGGGATTGGGAAATTTACAACAGAAGCAAATACTGAAATACCTGTCAGTCACAAACTGCAATTAACTCTCAAGTCTGACACTATTATTGGCATCTCATCTTGTTTGGAGTCAGGCTGATCCATCTTTCTCATATCAAATCTACAAGAATTTCCACATAAAAACTATGTAACATTATTTTACT